ACCTTCTGCTGCTGCTGCTGATCGATCTTGAACAGCTGCACCTTGGCTCTCTTGAGGAGGCTGAACATTTTCTCCTCCACACCAGACAGTGGTAAGGAACCCAAGCCTGCAATACGGGCCTTTTCCAGTGGTGGCGGCTGCTGTGGTGGTGGCTGTGGCTGCAGTTGTAACTGTGGCTGCTGTGGTGGTAATGCCTGGGGCAGCAACTGGGTTTGCAAGGCCTGTAGGGGCTGCTGTAGCTGAGCCTGAGGCTGCTGCCCATTGCTCAGAGGTGGCGCCCCAGGAAGGGGCACCTCGGCCTTAACAGGAGTGGCGACCACAGGGGCAAATCGAGGCAGGCTGAGGTGGTTGGTGCGGCCCACTGCCCGTGGCTCAGGCTCAGCTGGAGAGTCATCGGCAGGAGGCGGCTCTGGCTCAGGTGCTTCAGGGGCCCCAAGAGGAGTAGTAAGCACCGATTCGTAGATCTTCAGGTGGGCTTCACTTGGGGTAAACTGAGGCGCCCGAAGGAGCAGGGGCCTCCGGGATGGAGTGACAGGGGCAGGAAGTGGGGGTGGGGCCGGTGGAGGAGCAGGAGGCGGCGGGGGCAGTTCCCGGGTCAGTGAGGTCCAGCGAAACGTGGGTTCCCTTAGAATGGACCGTCTCTTTTCAGGAAGCGGGACTGGGGTAGAGGGGGGAGTTGGGGCACGTGGTGGAGAGGGAGCTGGTGCCGGTTCCGGGGGGGCGAGTGGGGAGGTGGCAACAGGAGGCCGCAGAGTAGGTGAGACTTCTACCTTTAGGGGCTTGGGGGGGTCTTCATCCATAAATCGCCGAGGTGTCTTGATGACACGGGAGGAGCGGGCACTCACCACGGGCATAATAAACTGCCGGATGTTCTTCAGGAAGGTGGTACTTTTGGGGGCCACAGTGGGGCTTTCTTCCAGAGGGCCTCCCGTGGTGGTGCTGGGGGTTGGAGTGGGAGGAGTACCTTCTGGCACTGCCCGAGCAGCTTCTCGCTCTGCCCGCTGGCTGGGAGTCAGGGGAGGCCGGCCCCTCTTCCTGGAGCATGTAGCTGGAACCACTGGAGGAGGGGATTCTTCCTGCTCCTCTGGGACAGGAGGCGGTGGAGGCGATGGTGGGGGCAGAGGAGACACTGGCGGTGGTGGAGAACAAAGCGGGGATGAAGGAGATGTTGAGGGAGGAGGAAGGGGAGGAAGGGGAGGAAGGGGAGGAAGGGGTGGAGGGGGTGGAGGAGATGGAAGAGACGGAGGAGATGGAGGGGGTGGAGGGAGGGGAGAGGGTGGAGGGGGTGGAGGGGGTGGAGGGGCTGCAGGGGCTGGAGGCGTCGAGGGTGGGGACGGCAGCTTTGCCTCTTCCTTTTCCTCCGCTAGCATCATCTCTTCTTCAGGTGCAGCTCTTTCTACCTTCTCTTCCCCCTCCTCCTTGCCTTTCTCCTCTTCTGTCTCCTTCTCTCCCTCCTCCTCCAGCTTTTGCTCTTTCCTCCAGCAGGGGCCCTCTCCCTGCCCAGATCCAACTCTTCCTTGGGGGGCATCCTGCCAGCTTTCCTCATGTTGATCTTGACCCTGACCTGATTCAAGTCCCAAGGACAACTGTCCCATCTTCACTTTTTTGGCCTTTGAAACAAACTTGATCACGAGAGGGAGCCCGCCTCGGCCTCGGCCTCTACCTCCACGGCCTCCTCGCCCAGACTGTCCTCCACGCTTAGGGGTCCCAGGTCCTGGGCCGGGCCCTTCCTTGCACTTCCAGCTGCCAGTTCGGTGTTTTACTGGAACCACAGGAGGTGGGGGCTCAGGTTTGGGGATTGTCACAGCTGCTTCTGCCACCACTACTGCTTGTTGCTTCTTCCTGCAGGGGCCTGCTGGCCGTCCTGGGGGCCGTCCCCGAGACCGACGCGGAGTGGAAGGCTCACATGCCCGGCCCCGGGGGGCTGGGGGTGCCTGGGCCCGCCGGAGAAGTTCAGTCAGTGCCTGTACCATCCGTTCTGTGCCTTCCTCACCCCGTTTCCGGGCAGGAGTCTTTGGGGGGGTAGGAGCAACATCTGCTAGGCGAGGAGGCGGAATGGGGGTCGTCTTATGCTTGCGGCCCCGACCTCGGGGGGCTCGACCTAAAAGGAGAATAGGTGTGGGGAGATGGGTCAAGCTGGCCCTGCAGACTGAAGAAGGCACTCCAGGAGGGCAAGGACTAAGTCTTACTTGTCCGTTGCCCCCACAGCCCAGCCTAGCTTGGGCTTTGAACACAGAACACACTCTGTAACTGATGGAGACTCTAGTTGAACAGGGAAGAGCTGACACAAAGAGCAAGAATAACATTCCTGTGAAACTATAGAGGTAGAGTTTCCCCATCACTCACCTCGCTGGGATCGGAGCGCAGAGCGCAGGGAACTGGGGGCCACATCTTCATCTGAATGAAAACCCTGAAACTCCTGATTTAGGGGACCAGAGGTGGAGGGGAGAAACAGCAGTCAGTGCCAAAGCCCTCGTTTCACCTGAGACTCAGGTATGGAGGTATATCCCCGGTTTCCCTCTTAACATAACCCTACCTATTTACAGGAAAACTTAAGGAACTGGAGAATGTGAGAAGAGTAGAAAACAGGGTCTCTCCCTAGGGATGGAGGCACGGGGTATTTTGATCCCCCATCCCCTGTGCCAGACCACACCAGCACAGCCACCAGTGGTTCACTGGCCCCAAAGGGAACAGAACAGGGTCTTCCCAGGCCAGGAAGTACACGCTACCCTCAGATTCCCTCACCCTCTAACTCAGAAAACGGTGGGACTTGTTTACACACTCTCAGAACGTAGCTTCCTCCTGAATGAAGATGGGAACAGGGGCACCCAAGTCGGGAGTGTGTTTCAAATGCTTTACTGTAATAGGTTCTACTCGGAGCCCTCAGGTTACTACACACTGTCGCGAGTAATACAACCCACACCTTCCTGACTTTTCTGAGAGGCTGAGGACAAATCCTGAGCTGAACTCAGACCTGCTAGAGTTCCCAGTCTCAGCCTTTATTCCATTTCTCTTCAATCTGTGCCCCTGAGACGAAGCCTTCCATCATGCTACCATCTCTCCACCTCAGGAGAAAGTACTGGGGTACTGGGGAAAAACCAGTGATGTGTCAGAAATTATAAGGCGGAGCAGCCTACAGGCAAGAGCTCACCCAGAGAGCCCTAGCCTGGGTCCACTAAAGCCACGCTGCTGCTGTCAACCACCACTGGCTGGGCATGCAGTACCCAGAGTCGTCTCGCTCAAACCTCTACAGCCATAGCTTTGCCAACTACCAAGATCATCAGCCCAGGACACTTCAGCAGGATGTGCCTCGGGCCCAAGTGCCCAGCTGCAGCCCCGGCTTCTCTATGCACTTTCAGAGGCCTTTTACACCGACAGCTCCGTGCAGCCTGTCTCTTCCCAGTCCTATCTGCAGGGCCCCATCCCTCCGCAGGGACCCTGAGAACCTCGCTTCCCCCCACCACCCCTCGGGGCGACCCAGACCCTCGGAAGCCCCCCGGCCTCCGCCCCGCCCGGCGTTGGGGACGCCTCCGACTGCCTCACCTCATCGTCGGATTCCTCGTCACTGCTCTCCTCAGGCACGCTGCCCCGGCTGGGGCCCCAGCCCCGGCCCCGGCCCCGGCCTCGGCCCCGCTGAACGCGCGGGCCGGCCCACAGTCGGCGGAGCCGGCGCAGGCCCCGGCGGAGCCCCAGCAAACGGAGCAGGGCCGTGTCCTCCCCAGGCTCGGCTCCGCCCGGCCCCGCCGCGCCGCCGCCGCGCCGCAGCGCTACCCGCACTCTCTCGGCCCCGCTGCCCCGTCCGCCGCGGCCCCCGCCCCCGCCGGAGCCCCGCGGCCGGCCCGGGAAGCGGCCCCGCGCGGAGCCAGGCCCGGGGCAACTGCCGCCGCCCGCCGCCGCCGCCATCTTGGCACCGTGAGAGGGGCCGGGGAGGCGGGGGGAGGGGCGGCCCGTGCGCAGGGCCGGGGGGAGGGGAGGGTGAGGTGGGGCGGAGCGGCTGCGGCTCACGACAGCAACTAGCGCCGCCGCGGGGTTAGCTGGAGCCGGGGGCAGGGCCGACCATGCGCGGGGCACCACGGGAGCGGGAGTCCGAGGCCAGTCGGCCCGTCACCCTTACACCGCGCCTGAAGAGCACAGACCCCGCGTTGCGGCCCGAGAGGGGTGAGGCGCAGGGACCCCCGGGAAATGTAGTCCAGGCGCCTCGCTCCTTCCGCCGGGAGCTGGGGCCGCGAGAGCTGGGACTATAGAGTCCTTATCCGACACAGAAAGCCGCCTCCAGGGCTGCCGGGAGGTGTGGTTCTCGCCCCAGACTCCTCCCGTTCTTTTTGTAGAGACCAGCGGCACGCATGAACTACCAATCCCAGGGTGCAATGGGCTTCAGACCCTGGGAATCCCAAAGACTCTGGGAAATGAAGTTTGCGACTGTAGGAGGCGTGGGCTGCGAAAGGGGCAGCGGCAAAGGATTAGTATCAGTTAGAGGTGCGACCCGGCGGTCGTTCAGCACAGGATGAAGGGAGGTGCTTGAGAGGCCGCGGCTTTGCGGACCCTGTGTTCAAGGAGTAGAGGCGGGTGGCGGAAAGCAGGGTAGTGCACACGTTCCTCGAGCCCTGGACTGGGGGTCCCAGACTCAGATTTTGCGCGCCGTTGCTTGCTGTGGAAGGGGCGGGTAACTTGGTGTCTCACAGGGTGTCTCCCCCCACAGGGCTTGCTGCTAAGTCAGCCTGGACTTCGTGGCCTCGCGGGCCCCTACCTCTGGGGAAGGACTGGGAGACCCGGGAGATGGAGGTGTCCCTCCCCTCACCCGCCCTCACTCCCCCACACTCCCGCCGACAGCGGATGCACGGCCACCAGGGGCCGCTACAGGACAAGGGGCAAGGTTATCCTTCCTTCCCTCTCCCCCTGCGCACAGACTGAAGTCTGGATTCAGACTTGTTCTGAGAGGAGGGCACAGGAAACTCTTTATTTTGGTGATGAAATCGCCAGTCCCCGCACCGTTAATTTTCATTCATGCAAACTGCACTGCCCACACCCCACACGGACTCGCTTGCCCAGGCTTCTAGGGCCCGCGGTCATCCGGGAGAAGGCTCCCGGCACCCTTGGCTGCGGTGCTTCTTGGACCCAAACACGCTAGGCTGCCGTACCTGCGGTGCCGGGTCAGAAGCCTAGCCAGCCCGGCGGCCCGTCTCTCATTCTTTTATTGTGTTGTTGGGTGAAGCCAAAGAAGGTACCGACACTGTCAGGTGGTGGAAGAAGGGGATCTACAGGGAGAAGTCGAGGCCCGGGATGGCCTCGAAGAGGAGGAGTAGAGGAATGTGGAGCGAATGGTCCATCCAGGTGGGAGCTGGCTGGGCGAGTGGCCGCGCATGTGCGCCTGCATGGAGGCTAGGCTGGGGCAGCCGGCCCGGCACAGAGGGCAGCGGTAGGGTGCGACCCCATGCGTCCGCAGGTGTTTGGTCATGGCTGAGAAGTCCCGGGAGCGCTGGGGACATAGGCTACAGGAGAAGGGCTTCTCTCCTAGGGCAAGTGGAGAAGGAGGCCGGTGAAGGAAAGAAGAGGCGAAGGCTGTCCTAGGGGTTGATCTGGGCGACTGGACAAGGGAATTGTGTGGAAGCCTAGGAAACAGAGGGATTCAGGGACAGACAGGAGTTTGTAAGGGAGCAGATAATTCGCAGTGGGCGGGGGGCCCATACCTGTGTGGACTCGGTAGTGTGTCTCCATCTGATGCTTGAGTGAGAACCTCTTTCCACAGACAGAACAAGAATAGGGCCGAGACCGAGCAGGAGGGGGTGGAGGAGGCTGTTGGTGAGGTGGGCCTGCTGTGCTCACCTGATCCACACGGGTTGCAAGTGCACCTGTGGGGACGGAAAAGGTAGGGCTGGGGATCCCAGAGCTGCATCACTGGTGCTCCCAGGCAAGACATCAGGAGCTACAGTGGGGTTGAAGGCAAAGGTGCCCTCACCCTACTCACCTGTGTACCTCTGATTAGACTCTTCCATCTCCCCAGGGCTGAGCTTTTCGGAGCCCTGGGGAGGGAACCTGGAGGGAGCGGAGTGAAGTAGGTGCCCTACTGGGGCTGGATTTCTCGATCTCTAGCCTCAGGAGAGAGATCCTGTTATAATATTTGTACAGGGCACTGCGGGGCTTACCTGGGGCAGGACTGGAGGAGCCCGACTGATTCTGGTTCCAGAGACCTTTCTCAGCATTCAGGGACAGTGGGATCCTGGGGATGGGGTGGGGAAGAGTTAGCCTTGGCGAAACCTGACCAAACCCTTCCTGGGGAGGGAGGTGTCAGGAGTCCTCCTCGGGGACGGGGCTCTGACTTCCCCTGTGGTGAAAGCTTCTTGTCCTATCAGCAGCTCAGGAAATGTACAGTAGAGATAAGAGATGTGGTGCCCTTCCACCCATCACTGCTGCCTATCCTGAGCCACTCCCTCCCAGCCAGGGAGGTCTTCCACTAGGCTCTTCACTCACCTCTGGTCCTGAGGCCAGACCTCCTGCCAGGCTCCAGTGATGGGGGTGCTATGGGAGAAGGGGGTGCCATATCTGGGTGGCAACAGCAGGATGCTCCACAGGGCAGGCTGGCCCTCCCCGAACCAAGGGGTCTCAGCCCACCAGGGCCTAGGGATGATGCTGGTTTGGAGGGAACCTGGTGGGGGAAGGGGGCCAGGGAACTCCCGTAGTCTTTCCTCAGAGACCCCTGGACTCTCTGTCACCCACATAATCACTTCTTGCTTTCCATCTATTCCCCCACGGCCAAGAGGGGATTGCTTGATTTTCTCCTTTGATCTCATCTGCTCCCCCCGACCCTCCTGCATTGGCTCTGCTAGCTCAGGGCTCTCTCTTGGTGGCCTTTGCTCATACAGTGTCTCCCATTCTCTTCCACCGGTGCTAACAAATTTTTCTGGTCTCTGCTCTCCAGGTCCCCCCCGTCCTCTCTCAGAATCCCTTGTGGGTTTCTCTGGCTCCTCCTGATGTTCCCTCAGCCCTGGACCCAGCTCTCTAACCCCATCCCACCGAGCCCTCCTGCAAGCGTCTTCCAGGGACTGCACCCCCAAGGCCCTGGCCGCTTCCTCAAGGGGCCCCAGTTCCCCAGGCTGCAGCTCTATAGTCTCCCCATAAACAAAATACAGAAGCTGGGCAAAGGTAGAAGGGCTGATGCCTTTCACCAGAGCCCAGCGGCCCCTGCGGCCCAGCTGCTGGCTCGCACCTGCCAGCACCAGGCTGTGGGCAGGGAATTCCTGGCTCCCCACAGTGATCAGGGCATCACACAGTGCTGGCCGGAGCCTGGCTGCTAGCCGTACCAGCCGATCAGAGCCATAGGGGCTAGGCAGTCTCGTCCGGAACAAGGGCATGGTGCCTGGCCTGGGTACCAATCTCAGAGGATCTGAAAGAAAGGCCACAGTGTGGGGTCCATGGTGGAAAGGGGAGAGAGCAACAGCATATTCTCAAGCCTGTGGAGGTGAGGGGAAAAAGAGTGAGTTGCTGGTTCAGAGCTCTCTTGTGTCCTGAATGAGGCACATAAACTAACCCACAAGAGGATCTAAGTTTATCCAGAATCATAACAGACCAGGGGGTAGGGATGAGGGTGAGGATGGCAGGAGGATGGAAATTAGACCAAGTTCAGGACTTAAAAGAGTAAGGACCAGGCGGTTAGCAACCATATCAAATGGCGGGTTTAAGGCTAGTATAAGATGGGTCCAGTCAATTGGCAGTCTCTCTGACTTGAAAGATAGCAGAGGTTGATACTTGTGCTCCTTCAAGCCTTTCTGTAGGGAAAGACTTTGGAGCAGGCCAGGCTTTCTTCTTTCCAAAGAGATCACCAGTAAGACTCACTCAGCCCTGGCACTTAGGGATGGAGCAAGACACTGCTTCATGGGAGAGTTTAGAAAGCTAGCGTGCCACCCCCTCATCCCCACCCCAAGCCCATCACATGGAGCTGAGTAGTCCTGAGAGTCAGAAAGGGCAGCGAGACTGAGGTCATAGCTGCAGGAGGGCATGCTCTAAGGCATCAATCGATTATCTCCCTACAGCTGAAACTTCTAGAACACGTCCTCAGAGAAGGACCTAGAAGAGATCAAAGAATCCCATCCAGTGGGTTGAGAGAGCAGGTGCAGAAGCCACAGAAGAGAAGGTTCCCAACTCAAGGATGGAGAGAGATTTTGGAGAAGAGTTGACCCCTGAGGAAGTGGGAGAAAGAGAAATGGGAACTATCAGGGGGGAGGCTATTTCCTCTCCAGATTAGGATAAGGAGATGGTTTAATTTTGTTTTCCAAAAACCAAAAGCAAAGAATAGATAGAGCCCCAAACAAGGTGGAAAATTATCACAGATCAAAACTACCACATTGGATTTAAAGAAGAGAACTGGGAACCCAAATACTAAGAGAGACAGAACTAAGTGTCTCAGCAGGCATACGCCTAAGTGTGGGCTCACTGTAAGAACCCTTGTTGGGAGAATTACTGCTTGGACACCTCAGGAAGAAGGCTACTTGGCAGGAAGTGAACAGAAAAGGGGGTGTAATGGGAGAAAAGTCTCAGCTGGGGAGAAGCCACCACTCACCAGTTGTAGCTTCCTCCTGGACACCGCATGCTCTGAACTGCTGTTGGGGCTCCTGGGGGCCCCCTGGAGCTAGCCACGCCCCTGACCTCACAGTCTTCCATTGGGTGTCCCAAGTACTAGTCTGCTACAGTCCCCCAAGAGGGTGTGGTTTTATAACCCTGGCTTGGCTTCACACCACCCCCCCTCACCCCAAAGGAGAGAACACCCTCCCTACTTCCAGATTCAAGACATTCTGCCTGGCTCCTAATTTCATTTGTGAACTTCTAGAGTCAAAGAAGTTCAACTGGCTCAGTCGGTAGAGCATACTACCCATGGTCTCTCCATGGTTGCAGGTTTGAGGCCCATGTTGGGTGTAGAGAGTACTTTAAAAAATAAAATAAAAATCTTTAAAAAAAAAAGTTCTGAGGCAACAAGGAGTTTGGAATAATCAGACCTGCATTTGAGCCTCATCTCTGCCATTTACTAGTTGAGTCACCTTGGGCAAGTTGCCTCCCTGAGCCTCAGTTACCTCATCCATGAAATAGGGGTAACCTTTGCTTACCTCATTTGGAGGTGAGGGTAAAGATAAAATGACATGATAAATGCAAAAGTGGTTTGTACATCATTCAAATAGTATTAATTCTGCTTCTGAGAAGCATCAGTAGAGCTCCAGCAGCTGGAAGCTGTTTCTACTACCTCAGAAGTAAAAAGGACTGAAACATCTGGATTCCAAGGAGAGCATGAAAGAGGGCCAAAAGCATGCCTTGTCCTTCCTCACCTTGACTTAGTACTAGGAAGCTTTAACTGCTCTGTGGAAATGACCCCTGTCATCTGGGCCACCACTGGGGACTGAATGTGCAAATGACTCAGATTCTCCATCAAGCTTTGAAGGGGGCAACCCCAGGAAGGGCCTGCGGTGGTCTTCGAAGAGAAAACTCCCTTTTCTTGGGTTGATGACAAATGACATTTCTCTGAAATCAGAACTCCGGGGTTTCTTTCACTTCCTGCCAAAAGGGTCAAGCTCTCAGGAGATTTCCCCTGTTTTCACACTTTAGTGCTTGTTAACCTGGGGAAAGGATGAGGTCTGAGAGACTCAAATTTCTTTTTCTGTTTTTTATTATTGCATTATCCCCCATCCTGTGGCACATTTTCCATTCTTTCAACAAATGTAGAGAGATCATTTATGATATGTGCCTGCTGCATCATATATGCCCAATAAATAACTGGAAGATGCGCAAGTCAGGCACTGGTAGGCTGCTCTGGTGACATGACACAGTCTGGTTCCCCCTATACTTCTCCCTTAGACTCTGGTCTGCTTCTAGACCCAAATGTTGTGTCTCTACACTTCTGTTTCTCCTTTTGGCTCAGGACCCCAAAATACTCAGACCAGTGTTCTACTTTCTCCCTCCAGACCAAACATGCCTTCCCTCTACTTCTTGTTCTAGCTTGGGTGCAGGCAGATGTTAATCCTTCCTATATAGACAGGGTGTGCCAATGGGTGGGGCTGGTGGAGGGGCAATAATAGGGTGGGGAGAGGGGAAGATGAGTCAGAGTGAAAGGGAAAATGCAAATGGACAGACTGTATTCATGTGCTACTCTGAACGTTAAATATTTTCCATTTCTGAGCTTTCTAACTCCTGGTGCAACCGCACCCAGGGACTCACTAGACATCCATATTAAAGACACTTGTCCTGAACATATAAAAGCACCAATCCCTGATATGTATGTATACAGAGAGAAGCATCCTTTCTTCAACACAGAAATACAATCCCTGGAGACACGGAATAAGTGGGGAAAGCCATGAGAGAGAAACCCCAAGTGTAGAAGGAAGGTACAGGGGTCTGGATGATTACATCATCACCCCTTGCCTCCCAGACCTACTTCATGTGCCTATGACTCAGCTCTCTCACTGGCATGATCTGCTTCACTGATGATCAAGAATGTTGGAAACTGTGCTCAAAGGGCAGCATTCTCTGTAAGCCAAGTGTAGTTCACAGGGAGTGCCAGCAGGCTTCCAGGAAACTTGGAGGAGAAAGGGCAAGGAGATTCCCCATCCAGTGAACAAAAACCTCCAAGAATGGGCAGCCTCATTTTGCCTCCCATCTGGTGTCTACCTGAACTAGACCTAAGGATGTCCTTTTAGAGACCACCCCCTTAGAGGCATCTCCACACCTTAGCCCTCAGGCTGGTGACACTCCAAGCCCTTCTCTCTACCTACATTCTTGGCTACACAGCCCAAGACTTCTTGCATTGAGCAATAACAGCAGGAGCACGAACAGATTGCACTTTGATTTGGAAGGGTAGGGACACTGCTAACTAATTGTCTATTCTTAAAAGGTCTGCCTTTCACAGTCTCAAAACTCTTGTCCACCTTCTACTTCCCAGGTTGACTCCAGAAATCACTTGCAGTTGTCTTGTGGGGTGGACACAGGAAACCATGAGGCTTGTAGCCTGCATCCTGGGAGAGGGTAGAGTGGGTAGAAGAGATTAGGTAGCATATAACTGGAAGGAAGTTTGTGGAGGTATGATTTTTGCCTCTTAGTCCTAATACATTACTAAATAAAGTTTAAAATCTGATATATATATATATATATATTTAATGTCTTATTTATTTCTGAGAGAGAGAGTGAGAGAGAGACAGCATGAGCAGGGAGGGTCAGAGAGAGAGGGAGACACAGAATCTGAAATAGGCTCCAGGCTCTGAGCTGTCAGCACAGAGCCCAATGTGGGGCTCGAACCCATGAACCATGAGTTCATGACTTGAGCCAGAGTTGGACACTTAACCAACGGAGCCACCCAGGCGCCCCTAAAATCTGATATTTTAAATTCTTACTGATAGGCATGATGATAAACTCCTTCATAAGCCCCTGCAGGTACACCCCAACTTGATATAAAAATGTCAACACAGCAATACAGGTATGGATTCTCTTCAAATATAATTAAAACTAAGTCATCAGAATAGACCAATTAGAGGGATGATGACTTGTTTTATGAAAAATGTTCTCCCATTATTTGTTTGTTTGTTTTAAGTAGGCTTCCAGTGCAGAGCCCAACACAGGGCTTGAACTCACAACTCTGAGGTCAAGACCTGAGCTGAGGTCAAGAATCAGATGCTTAACTGACTAAGCCACCCAGGCATCTCTATCTCACTTACTTTGAATATTGAGTACCTCCAAAACCAAGGTAAACAAGATTCAATTTAGAAAAATTCTATGAACTTTCTGCTCTCCAGGAACACAACTCTTTCTGCAAATTAAGATGGTTAAACTCTCCACAGCATTTAATACAGATTTAAGACCAGTTATCTAAATCTTACATAAACTTTCAAATGCTCACTCTTTCTAGTTAAGTACATCCAATATAAACCAAAGAAGAGACACCATGGAGTAAATTAGTTTCTTCCCTTAAATCTGTGCTTCATATAACCCAAGAACCAGATATAATCATAGCCAGTGAGCTGAATCTAGGCAATAGAGACCCTATCGTAGCATATCTTTTATGGATCGAGTGGAAAAAGAACTAGAAGTAAAAAACAAGAAAAAAGAAAAAAAAACCCAACTTAGGTTCCACTGCATCCTCCCTGTGGACGGCCTTTTTCTTCAGCCCTAATACGGAGCTAACTCTTCTGAGACCCCCAACTTCCTCACAGGAGCTGTCTTGAATACCAGTACTGTATACCAATATTTCCTTAAACCCAGGAAGAAGACCTCACTCTGATCCCCTCTGGCTATGTCCCTCCCCTTGGGCCAAGAATCCCAAGGACACCTAGGAAGAGCCCACCTAGAACATGTATCCCTCAACTCTAGGCCATGCTCTGGAAGCTTGGAGTCCTGAACCTCCTTGCCCAAATGGCCCACTTCCAGAACCTACATGGCCCTCAACCCCAGGTCTATACTCATGAGAATGAACTGTGTGATGGTGTACATCCCAAGCCCTGGTAGGTAGACTGAGCTCAGAAATGCAGTCTAGTATATGAGATGCCTTGAAGTGTGCACCAACATCAGGTGTGGGAAGAAAAGGGGACATCATTTCTAGTCTTGCCTAGGCCCTGTAAACAGTACAGCAGCCTACTTTACTCCAATGATTCTTAACCTCATCAATCAAGGGTGCCCCCATCTTAAAACTGTAAGCCATGGAATCAACTGTGTACATCAGAAAGTTGTAGATATTCATACCATTTTGCATGTGAATGACAAGGGATTCACAGATTGTTCTGCAGTCAGTCCTTGGACAGGTTAGATACTTGTTGCTTATCCATGTGGCTGCTTTGCACCCCCTCCCAATACAACGTGCATACAATTTTCCTTATCATTTCCAGGAGTTCAAAACCTCCAGAAAGCCACTCATAGACCACTTGCTTGGATCCCCCACCCAAGAACTCTGGGTGTACATGAAAGCATTCTGAAAGCTTTAATACCATATAGAACTTGAGCAACTGAGTAAAATTAGATATAAACACCCTGCCCCATTAGTATAAAAAATTTTCTATAATGACAGCCTGCATGATTTCCTAAGGAGCAGGATATCTCACATATGTCTTTCTATGCTCCAGTACAAGAGCCATCTTCCTTATGGATCTGGCCCCATTTTTATAGCTTGGTATCTTCTGGGAATGACCAGAGTTTGGAGAAGAGTGGGGACAGGGACCGAAAGGCTCCAAACATGACCCAGCCCTGGTTTTTGTCTAGAGACATCACATGGCAATAATATTTCATGGAGGTCAAACAACCTGAGATTCAGACACTCCCTCCTCAAGAATCTCCAGACGACCATGGGCCTAACCTTCTGGGCCAGGCTGTCTAACCTGGACCCGATACTGGAAAACCTGCTAACAGCATGTCAACCTGGAATCCAGTGACACCCCCCCCCCAAAAAAAAAGCCTTGCAGCCACATATTCTCAGCACAGCCTGGATGCAATAGCCCTTGACAACTTCCCATCGGGCTTCAACCCTGGCAACACTCATTTTCAGCCCAGGCTGGATCCAAAGACTCCAGAAAACCTCTCAAGTGCACATTAGTTTCATCTTTTGGCCAGTGACTACCAACAACCTCTGGAGAGTCACGGGTCTCTCCTTTCAAGTCGCTGCATCCAGACTCAGTCCAGAGACCTCAGACAACCTCTCACAGTTCAGAGGCCATACCTTATGGCCAATGACACCATGCAGAGCTCCAAGGGCCTTCAACTGCCCCACAATAAACGTCCAAATCAAGTTAGCCTCAGGGACCATGGACCAACTCATAGGGCATGTTGGCCTAGCCTCTGCCCAGCTTGGGTCCAAGGGTGCCCAGGAGGCCCCGTTTCCAGCCTTGCCAGGGCAAAGGGAGCCTCCAGGGACTAAAGTCCTCAGCCCTCAATTCTTGACTCTCACAGGGACCACTGAAGCTCCCACACCCCAGCTTGGCTTGAAGTGTAAGAAAAACCATGGCACTCACCGACTCAGACCCTGCTCCTCTTCCCGCAGCCTCACATGTACTGAGGGCGGTGCAAGATCAAGTGTCCGTTAGAAAGTAGGGAGCGACGAGAGGTCACGAGCGAGCTCGAAGCCCGAGCGCGTGCACAGGTCGCTTGTCTCCCTGGATTCTGAGACGGACGCTGATTGGCTGCAGCGTTGGCCGCATCAAACAAGCACGCTCACTACCCTAGGAGGCACCTAGGACAGCTCCACTTGCTCCTCTCCCAGCCTCGCACCCACCGCGGATTGGCTGCGGAGCTCCCTCCTGCCCAGCTTGCTGTGCGGAGTGGCAGGACCTTGAGTCCAGTTGGTCCGCGGACTCGGGTTTCAGGTCTCTAAGACTGAGATATTACCCTCCAGCCCGCCCTCCTCCCCTTCTAATTGGCTGCGGAATTTGCTCTTTCTTTCCCTCGCTGTGAAAAGACTGGGCCCTGAACCTCCTTCGCCAACAGCCTTGGAATCTGCCTCTGCAAGGGCCCAGGATACCACCAATTCTTTGCTCCTGTCTTTGCCACCCTGAGTGGCTCTCGTTGCAAACCCTCTCACCTCTCTCTCAATCCCTGACAGTCTATGAGATATATGTCTGTGATTGTTTGGGAGGCCCCCAGGAGCCAGCTTGGCTTCAGGCGCCTGTAGGCAGCTCCCCTTTCCCGCTTCTCGCCCTGCTTCACCACTGATTGGCTGCAGGACGCACTGCCTCACCTGGAAGTACGCGGGGACCGGGGAGGCACCAGAGGGGCAGTGCCTTGACCCGTGATTGGTCTAGATGCACGCGCTTCAAATGCTCATTGCCTGTCTGCTGAGCCTGAGTTAACAGCGCACTTCACGTACCAGCTCCCCCTGCCCCCGGCCAACACACCAGAGAGAATGGTCCATTGCTTTGCCCTGCCATTAAATTGGTCAGGGCTAAGAGCCCAGCCAGCTGGCTTTCTACCCAGGAAGGGCTTCCGTGCTGACCGGCGGCGAGCTCGAGCAGAGCCGGTCGGTGAGCCTGTGCCTTTTTCCTCCCACGAGCTCCGCTGCGGTTGTCCTGCTGATTGGCTAGCTCCGCTCTCTTCTAAGTGGCTTAGCCTTGCCGTTTGTGCTCGGACACACCCAATGAGGAGCGAGGGCGCTTTAAGGAGGCGGGCATTGCTCGACCGCTTCCACTTATGATTGGTCCGGAGGCTTGCTTCTTCTCTTTTGATTGATCAGAGGGGCGGGAGGCGGGAGACCAGCCCAACGGTTTCAGGCTGTAGTTGGGAGTTCTGTCTCCGTGCTTCAAAAGCTCTGTCCAGGGCTCGGCGGAGTGTTGTCTGGCGCCTACTTCCCCGCAGCTAGCTGAGGAGCTGGGGAGGGAACACGGGGACAGGAGGACCCTCCTGCGGAGGGCCTGGGACAGCAGCTGCAGCTTTGAGTCGGGATGGAGACAGACTGAGGCGAGTGGCCAGCCGGCCGGTGCAAACCCCCCAAAAAGCTGAAAAAGACAGGCGCAGGTACTGTTACAGCAGTAGAAACAGCAGCTCCCGCTCACTGAACCCTTTGGTGTGCCGCGCTGTGTGCATCATCTCACTGACTCCTAAATAACCCTGTGAGGGAGCAGATTACTCTGCCGGTTAACCTCCGAGGGTTATTTGTCGCCCATGGCGAGAACGGGCATTGCTGGGACTCCGACCTTGTTCTCGTGAGAGTCCGGCATTCGAGCTACACTGTGATAAGTAGGGCTGATCTTGCAGATGGGGGTGGGTCCTGATGTGATCACCTCGGCCCTGGCTTACCTCATCCATACATGAGGGGTTTTTGGTTTGGGTTTTGGACTTTTATCTGATCCTGAAGGCTTCGCTCAGTACATATGTTCAAGTCCTCAAACTTTTGGGTAAATGCATTTGCATTCTGGGAGAGGATATTTTAAAAATCATCCTCATGGGTGCCTGGGTGGCTCAGTCGGTTGACTCTTGATTTGGCTCAGGTCATCATGATCCCAGGATTGTGGGATGGAGCCCTGCATCTAGCTCAGCTCTGAGCGTGGAGCCTAAGATTCTCTCTCTTTCTCCCTCTCCCCCTCTCCTCCTCTTGCATATGCTCTCTCTCTAAAGTAAAAACCAAAACAGAACAAAACTTTCTCATAATATCTTTGCCACTTACTTGGCCATTTACACTGAACCAGGCCAGTTTTAAGTGCTTTTCGTGCATCCTCTAATGGAATTCTTACAGCAAACTCTATCAGGGTATTTACTGCTGTTATTCTCACTTCACAGATAAAGAAATTGAGGTTGTGAGAAGAAATTCATTTCCCTAAGATCTCACCAGGACTAATTGTCAAGCTGGAATTTGAACGAGGCCTGTTGCAGTCCAACTCCAGAGACCAAGCTCTTTTTAATGTTTATTTGCATTTGAAGGAGAGACAAAGCATGAGCGGGACAAGAGCAGAGAGAGGGAGACACAGAATCTGAAGCAGGCTTCAGGCTCTGAGCTGTCAGCACGGAGTCCAACGCGGGGCTCGAACTCATGAACCGTGAGATCATAACCTGAGCCGAAGTCAGACGCCCAACCAACTAAGCCGCCCAGGCGCCCCCAGAGCCTAAACTCTTAACTCTTGGTATATACTGCCTCCCGTTGTAACAGATTCAAGGTCCAGAATGTGGCACACGTGGTCCTGGAAAATCGTCATAGCCACCCCACGAATAGGAATGGTGACACCACCATTGGAACAGACAGCCAAGGTTCAGAGAGGTGAAGACACTCAGCTCACAAAGCCAGGCTGTGGCTGAGCAATGAGTACAATGAATATTACATAACTTTCTGAATCCAAACTCACATCCTTAATTATTCTTAAGACTACTCTCTTCCCAGGGCATTCACTTTTGAATGTCCCCTCTCTGTAAAGAGAGCTTTCATGCTATTCTTCCTTTCTAACCTTATAGTCTAATAAACTTTTGCCTGCTGCTCAAACACTAGTCTGTCTCTTCCCATTTGGCAGATGAAGAAACTGAGGTCTTGAGGAGAAATCAGAGCTAGAATTCAGAGCCAGGTCTATCAGGTCCAAGAGATTATTCCCCTGAACCATATTGCCTCCAGGAAGTACTTGTCTGGTGGATCCTGGGTTGGATCAGGTGGGGAGTCCTCTCACCCAGCCAACCTTGTTTACAGACACTGAGCTCATCCGGTCCCAATTTTGGGCCTCAAGGTGGTTGGCAGTGTATTTCCCAGCCCCAGAACCTTTGGGAGATTCTCACTGAGAAGTTCTAATCATAAATGCTACAATTTATTGAGCCATTTTTATGAGCCAGGCAAGGTGGAAACCATTTTGCATGCATCATCTCACCGAAACCCTTTAATAATTCTTGAACACAGGGGTTGTTATTGTCCCCACTTTACAGGTGAGGAAGCTGAGACCCAGGCAGGAATGTAACATTTCTATGTTTACAGGGCTAGTGAAAGGTGGAGCCTAGATGGGAACCCCGAGAACCTGTGGAGCCCTCAAATCTAGCTACCTAGCTTGTGCAGGCATAAGAAAGTGGACTGAGGGACTCTGGGCTCTGCAAGATGGACTAGGGAGAGCTTGGCTCTGGGGGTTGGACTGTGAAATTAGGAGAGTAAAATATCTGACGGGAGTAGAGAAATGACTACTCCTTGTTGAGCAATGCCCCCATGCCAGTCCCTGTGTTCATTAAGCTTTAATGCATGTTGAGAGGCAAGAAAGTTTGTGGTTAAGAAGCTGGACATTGGATCCAAATCGCCTAGATGCGTATCTTGGCCCTGCTACTTTCTAGTTGTGAGACATTTAACAAGTTACTTAACCTCTCCTGGCCTCAATTTATTCATTTGCAAAATGGGGAAAACGACAGTAAACCATTTTCAAGACTCGAGAGAATTAAATGAACTAATAGAATAGTGGCATCTCTTATTATCTCCAGTGCCCTGACACTGCGTTTCTTTCTTGCAGTCACCATCACCCCTCCTTGACTTTGGCATAAACATTGAAAATTAAGGTTGTTATTTGCAATGAAAACTTCTGGGGGAAGTGTGTTCTCAGAAGAGATAGCAAGTGCAAAGGCCCTGAGACAGAAGTGAAGTTAGCATGTTTGAGATATAGCAAGAGTCTGGCTAGAGCTAGGCAGATGGGTAAGACTCAGGAGCTCAGCTCAACTGCACGGGTTTTCCTAACATGTAAAAATGACCCTGGACTTTATGGTTGTTAGAGCATAAAAGACTTTTTCCCCAAGCTCTGATCTCTGGAGAAACACAAAGCCATGATTACTTGTGAGGTTTCAGTGTCCCACGGTTGCTCAGGAATTTAGAGATGAAGCTTAGAACTCAAGCTCTCTTGCTCTCCATCCAGGACTTGTGTGTGGAGGTCAGAAGACTTACATTCAGTCAAGTATTTATTAAACTCCAATGGTATATACCATCTGTGTTGAGTCCTGGAGCAGATTCAGCCCCTTTTAAATCTTTAGATCCAGAAAGGAATTAGACCTCAAAACATATCCTTCCAAATGAAAAGTGCACCAACTAAAGCCCAGAAGGGACGCTTAAGCCAGGGGTAGGAGAGGGAGAACAGCGAGTGAAGACTTTCCAGCTGAGTATATATTTTTGCAGTACCTGCTATGTGCTAGGCATGGTGCTTGGTACAAAGTACATAATGGCAAATAAGAAGAGACCAATGCAGGGGCGCCTGGGTGGCTTAGTCGGTTAAGCGTCTGACTTTCGCTTAGGTCATGATCTCACGGTTCGTGGGTTCGGGCCCCGCGTCGGGCTCTGTGCTGACTGCCAGCTCAGAGCCTGGAGCCTGTTTCAGTCTGTGACTCCCTCTCTCTCTGACCCTCCCCTGCTCGCGCTGTCTCTCTCTCCTAGAAATAAATAAAAAACATTTAAAAAAAAACAAGAAGAGACCAATGCACATGTACTTCGGCTGCCCTCTCAAAGTTCTATAGATGGGGTAGTTTATTTCTTTTAATGTTTATTTTTGAGAGAGAGAGAGAGAGAGAGAGCGCAAGCAGGGGAGGGGCAGAGAGAGAAGGAGACAGGGAATTCGAAACAGGCTCGGTGCTGTCAGCTCTC